ATAAATTACAACCTGTCTCTCTTTCTCTCTTTCTCTATTTCTTTCCGTCTCTCACCCTCATCCATCCTTGTGTGGGGACAGGGCCTGAGCTGCTCTAATAGGTAACTGCTCTACTGGGAAAAGTCTGGGGTGCCTGGGACAGATCACCTCTCTTTTTGAGTTGTTCCCTAGATCTAACATTTGCATGGGGAGAAGTGTGGACCCAGGGGAAGGGAGTGCAGCCTGAGTAAAAAAGACAAAAGAGACCTCCCCTATCAGGCCTAGTATGGCAGAAGACTGCTCTGGGTTTTGTTAAATGTGAACCTCTCCTACATCACCCTAAGCTCCATGATCCTAGAACAGTGCTTGGCTCATGATGGGAGTTCAAGTAACATAGATGCTACATGAGTGAATGAGATGGATGTCATCTTGCGTGCACATAACTCTGCTGAGAACTTGCTGAAAGTGAAGGGAAAAGAGTCAGAAGGAAGAGTGTGGCTAGGGCAGAACAAGGTGTACAGAAGGTTCTGTATCATGTGCCACCACCATTCACTTCAAAATATCTAACAGGCCACACATTTTTTTATGTGCTGCTGGTTAATAAAATGTCATTTTAAAAGTTCCATACTTTAGATTTTCCTGCAGCTATTCTCAATTCATGAAGTTTCATTACTTTTAGTCTTAACAATTGTTGACCAGTTTAATTGCTCTTTACTGCTGCAGTAAGCCTTAGCAAGAGACACGAAGCAGCAAAGTAGATATTTCCTTTCTTTATCTATCAGCACCTGTTCAGTCACCATGATAAAAACAGATTTGCAGAAGCAGAGGAGGATGGAACCAATGGCCAAAGTCACAGACACACCGCAGCTCTGTGCAGAGCCACATGGACATTATGAACTGGAACTGAAAGTGTAATGACAACATCCCACACTTCTCCTTGGCCTCGTACCTTATAACGAACTTCACATACATGTTAATGCCAGTGTTGCCCAGTTTGGAGCCCTGTCACTGATGAGGGTACCCGCCTTCCCTCTGGGGGTATTGGCTGATGATTCTCTCGAGCTGATGGGAGCCACCTGGCCTGAGAGGTCACACCTGTCTCCTCCTTCCCATCCCCTGAATGTGTCTGATCCACAGGGATTCCCCCTCTTGCTCCCCCTTTTCTTGAATTTTCTAGTGTTCATTAAACATGAAAATAGGCAGTGATTCTGGCTGTGTGTTCAACTCATATGGGAAGTTGTTTCCAGGCTCCAAGACCCCACCCAGAACTTGGGGATCAGCATGTCCTCTGTTGGTTCTTGAGTGGTGAGCCTTGCTGGGACTGGGCATACTCACCTGGCCTCCACTCCTTCAATTCCCAGCTGGGAGTCATTGGTTGAGGTACTTAATCTTCCTATGCCTCCATTTTCCCCATGTATATAAAACAGATGCCACCTACTGTAACTCCGGGGGGAAAATCCCATAGCAAAATACCTTTGAACCGAAATCAGTCAAAGAGAGAAATAAAGTGGGAGAAACCTGTTTATTGCTTACAAGCAGTTGTCCACTTCTGCTCGCCCGTGTCTCTCACAAACCTGGCTTCAGAAAAAGGGGCCCCACCCAACTTCTCAGTTCCAGATACACCCTCGCTTCCCCTGTGTAATTACCTATTGATATGGAGACACACTAAGGCCAGGTGAGAGAATCTGGAAATATTTGCAATTTTACCCAGACTCTCTGGCTACAATTCTCTCCATTGGCCCTGAAGTCCCTCCATTTGTGTCACTTTGGTGGTGTGTGACATGATGATGCAACATGATCTCTAGAAGGCCACTCTCTTTCCTATGTCCCTTGAAGGACTTCAACTTTTCCAGCTACTGAATATGCAAGTCACAAAACCACTTGCTAACTGAGTGCCTGGGAGCCTGGCCCAGATGAAATCGGGGATGGGAGGAAAAGGTGTGAAGTTGTGCAGTGTGGAGCAGGGGGGCTTCCAAGAGGAGGGGGTGCTGAAACATGGGGGTACCAGACTTGCTTTGTCTGGCTTGATCTCTTGCTGGTGGCAGGCTCTAAAGGACACAAGTAGGACAGGGAAGAGATGCTGCGGGTTAACTGGGTGTTTCTCTTCAGAAGGCCAGCTATGCTGACGTGCACCAAGTACAGAGGGGACGTGTTCTAGCCAGGAGCAAGCCAAGCTCTGTCTTTCCGGCCCACAGCACCCTATGTGTCCTGATTGGGGATGTCTGGTCTACAAGGAGGAGTCCTTGCAGCCTGCATATGGCGGCCCACACAACCAGGTGGCATGGGGAGCATACCAGGCCTGTTCTGGCTGGGCTCTGTCTGGGAAAACACTCTCACTTTCTTTCTCAGTGGTGAGTTTCTGAACACAGCCCAGTGAAAGTTTCTCATGAGGCAGCCCCATGCTTTTGGAGTTCAGAGTCTTGGTTTTAAGGCACAGCTCAGTACCTGGATGGTAATGGGGCATTCGGTGTGGCTTACCACATCTTGCTCAGTTTTTCTTTTCCATCTCTGTGAAAAGAGAATAACAGTATACTCACTTGGCTTTACATTTTTTTCAGGGAAAAAACCTGAAAAGTAGGAGAAAAACCCCAGGAGAGAAGATTATTTGCTATTTCCAGAGAGTGGCACTGTGCGTTTTCTTGGTTTAGGTACTTATAACAATAACATGTGATCCATGACACTTGTATATTAATTCCTATTTCTACCACAATGATCTCAAGTTCAGGAAAAATAACAAAGGAAACTCTTCCAGACTTACAATCCCATAGTCAATACTCAGAAGAGGTGAACCAGCCACCAGAAGCCCCAGAGTTAGAAATGGGGATTGTTAAGGGCTTGGCAACACCTATTCTGTGTTGTGTTATATGACAAACTGTGTTGGTATCTTTATGTTTCTGGATGAGATTGTTGTGGCATGGGGAAGATAATAAATTATGTGATCTCCACCTGAAAAACATTTGAATCTTGTTGGAGAGACAAGGCAAGCATACATTGAGAACAACACTGAGGAAAGGAAGAAATCCAGTGTTGGGTATTTGAATAATGTGAGAGTTTTCTGAAATCTGTTCACCTTCCTGGATTGATCCAGAAGATCCAATTAAGATCCGAAGAGACTGTGTATATAAAGCACTTTGTACACTGTAAAGTCCAATATACACATTGTAATTTACCCTTGCCTACAGAAGGTTTCACAAAGGAGGTGGGGTACAGAAGCTTGAACTGGGAGCACAGATGGCAGGTGCAGGGAGGGAGGTGGAGTGATATGGGTGCTCCCGGGAGGCAGGAGTGAGCATGGTCAGGAGACACCTCCCTGTCTCATAGGGGCAACCTACTTACATCCCACTCTCGAGGCTAGTGTTCCCATCTCCTTTTCACAGATGAGGATACTGAGGATCTAAAGATGAGCAGCTTGTCAAAAGATGTGTTTAGTGACAGGCCAGGTCAGCAGCTCTTTGCACTTAGCCTGACTGAACCTAATCTGAGGCCTCAAACTCCGGCTCACAACACAAGGTCAACCAGCTCTAGGCTGAACACTTGTTTTCTGAAATTAATCTGCCACCTTCAGGGCAGCCTTAGCAGGGAAAGAGCAAGAAGTGAAGTTGGTGGAGACCCATCCCATAGCTCTCTACAGCAGCCTTCTAAGACGAGGGGCAGGGGGTCCCCAGACCAGCAGACAGACTGATGACTGATGATACCGAGGCTGGTTTCTGGCCTTGTTGCTAAAAAGAACTGAGAGAAAGCCAAAGGACTCAAGGCAGCAAGATAAAATTAAAACAGGTGAAGAAATAAGGCAAAGGTAAGATAAGGAGAGAACGATGAATATGGAAGATAAGTGGTTGGACAAAACATACACTGTAAAATCCTGTGCATTTGTGAGAACTGACCATACATTTGGCTCTGCACAGTGCAGACAGGGAAACAAAACCAGTCATAGGATATCTAGCAGCCGTGGGTGACAAAAGTACCCTGCAGAAGATGTGTTACCTGGTAGAGGTTGAAAGGGCTTGTTCCTTGAACCCAAAGAATGCCGACAGAGTCCTTGCTCTGCTTGGGTGCCTAGCTTCTCTCTCCCTCACACTTGGCTTGAGCAGGGGAAGGCAGAGGCCTAACTGCGCCCAGTCGCCGCAGCTAAGGGCATTTTGCTGGCTGCCAACCGGGGTCGGGGTGGGGGGACAGGGGCTGTGGAAGGACCCAGGGGCTGCAGCTGGTTTGCAGTCAGGCCGCCAAACGGAGAAGCCATCAGAGACGGGCCGCCTGCCTGGTACTTCAGAGCCGGAGGCCGCGGGCCGACTGCAGGGGAATGGCAGCGCCTCTGGGGAGGCCATTCCCGGCAGGGCCGTCCGGGAGAGCCCGCCTGCAGCCCTGCGGGAGCCTTCCGGGCTGGGCTCTGGGGAACCGCCCCGTCCTGCAGGGCCGCGGGCCAAGGGCCGCCTGCTCCGCAATACCCATTGCTCGGCGGTTGGTGTGCGTGCAGCCGCCCGACCTGAGAGCGGGCTGCGCGGAGGAGGCGACCGGGGAAGGCGGGGCCCCCAGGGGCCGAGGCAAATCAGGAGCCTTAAGGCCCCGCGCCGGCAAAAGGGATGCTCGCTTCTGTGTACAGTGTTTTCCGGTTACAAAAAGAGGACTTTGCTGCCTGCCTTAATTCCGTCTAGGACGTTCTCCGCAAATGAGAGTTAAGGGAGAGGAAGTCATTCCCTTCCTCTCTCCGCTCTTACTTTCCACTCACCACCCGCCTCACCGGACGCACGCGCGCACCACTCCCCAGAGGGGTTCAGCGGAACAGCGCCCCCCTGGAAGCGGCCTGGGGTTGAAGGGTCCCTGGAGAGCGCCCCCAGGAAGGTTCAGATGCCGTGTTGGCGGGCCCCCCCGAGAAACCGATCGCACACTCCCAGGAGCTGTGCTTGTCACCCCGCCCGCCGCATCAGCATCAGCAGGTTCCCCGCGCGGCTGCCAAAAGCCCCAGCCCGCCCAGCCCGCCCAACTCCGGGCTGAGTCATCCTTCCCGGCCTCATTCACTCTGCCTTCCCCCAGCCTCTGTCGGGAGCTCCGGAAAAGCCTGGAGATTCTGGGAGCAGAATGCACATTCCAGGGTGAATTCCCCGCGCTGTGGTGGGAGGAGGCCGCAGGGACAGCCAGAGACCTGGGGCCCGGACACTCAGTGCGCGGGGGCTCCAGGGCCGCGCTGGGGCAGTGGGCACAGACGCTGCGGGTGTAGGCTTAGCCCCGTCCTTCAGCCGTTCGGCGGGACCTGGATGCATGACGCCGGCCTAGGACCACTCGTGGTCAAATCCAAGCGCGGAGGTCCTGTGTGTGTATTTCTGCGTAATGTGTATGTCCCCAGCCGAATTAACCTTCAGCAAAAGCTGAAGACTTGGAGATTTCATTTCCTTTTGGCAGGTGGAGATGTAGTGTTTGTATGCACTCCTAGCCCTCTTATTCTCAGGCCAAAGAGATTCAGCCCTTCTGCCTATCTCCGTGTGTGTGCGCGTGCACGTGCTCCCCAGCTGTTCCCCGTGGCGGGGTGGTTCTTGGCGCAGGGGTAGGCTGAGAAGATGAAGAGAGAGGAGAAGGGATACCTGGATGTCTAGCCCTCCTGGTATCACACAGAAATCTCTAACCGAAATTTCATTTGGCAGCCTTATTCCCCACAACCCCTCCTCCCTGTCCCCAAACCAGTTTGACTGTTTGCTGCTGTCAGTCTCACCTGCGCCCACCCTCACCTCTACTTCCCCGGGACCTCAGTCTTTTTTTTCTTAAGACCTTCGACTTGTTGGATGAGGCTCAGCCACCTGGTGACCGATAATTTGCTTTACTCAAAATTTACTGATTTCACTGTTAGTCACATCTAAAAAAATACCTTCACAGCAACATTTAGACTGGTGTTTGGCCAGACATCTGGGTACCCATGGCCTAGACAAGTTGACACATAGAAGGAACCACCCCACTGGTGATCTAGGTGAGTCACTAATGTCTCCTAGGCTCTGTTTGCTGCACGTTGATTGGGCCCGTACAGGGGCAGTGCTTTGGTGAGAATTGGGGTGATAAGCAGCTGGCACACAGCTGGGCTAACAGGAGACACTGTCTCACCATCTTCCCTCGTTTTTATTCCAACCATGGTTCTTGCCAAAGGAAGGGCCGCGTGCAGGGGATTTGCTCAGTGCTGGGCATTTTTTGCTGGGTCTGACCCTATCTCAGTGGTGGGAACACTCCTGAGGCAGACACTCTCTTTTTCCTCTTCCTAGAGGTAGGCTGAGGGTAGCCTCTTAATTCCAATTCCATACCCTGTGGAAAAAGGGGTTGCAGGGATAAAAGTCACTGTGGTCGGAGCTGCATATGGGCTCCTTGGTGGAAGAAGCTTGGAGCCGGATGCTGTGCCCCAGTAGATTTTGTCAGCTTGGTCAAGGCTGGTTCCACACCAGTTCTGGAACCACAAAAGGCCAGAACACTAGATTTTATTTCTACTGAGGGCCCCTGAGCAACTTCTCTTTTTACACAGACATCACTAGTCTATGTGCATACATGCTGTTTTGTCCTTGGCTTTTGTCCTCTTTTCCTTGAAATAGAGCTAATTTCATGTGATTAAAAAAAAATGCTTAAATGCAAGACCCCATCTATTTTGAGCCAAATTAGCTTTCTCTATCAGTATTTTTTTGTAAAAAGGAAGAAAAAATAAAATATTGCCCATCATGTGTGTGGCCTGAACACAACCCTCAAAACATCTTCAAGGTTATCCATCAAGGTTTTTAAAAGGAAATATATTATTCTTAATTATTCTTATCTATTATTTTATAATACTTTGTGGATTTATTTTTTAACCTGTAATCTCATGCCAAAAGAGGCCATTTAGGTTTATTTTTATTTATAGAGTGAGGAAAAGCCAGAATATATGAGACTATGTTTACTATTTTAAATTTTGTTCTCTATTGCTTTTCTTTTCAACTTGAAATGGAATTCTGTGCTATGGACCAGTGTTTGGCTCCAGGTCAGAGGAGCTCTCTTCAAGCTGGTGGGGAACGCCTGAGAGAATTCTGGGCCAGCAGGCAGCCATATATTTCTTCCTTGATCCTGTGTGCGTGGGTGAAGTATCAGGGAAAGGTATAAATAAAATATTCTGACTCCACATGTGGTATTTTGGGCTTAAAAATCCTTTATAAACTTCTCCATTCCTATAAGCAGTTTTATTTATTATGGGATATCCTTCCACTCTCCTTGTGGGATTATTTGAGAAGCAGCAAAGGCTTCTTGTGAGAAAAATGTGTTTGCTGTAGGGTCTGTGCCGAGACTGAGAGCCTGTGAGAGAGGAATTCCTCTGTTGTCTGCCTAGAATTTTCGGTGAGGCTTCGTGTTCTGGGGAGTACCAGTCCTTCAGTAGCGGAGCCATAATGGAAACATGCTTTCTTGTTTCCCTCCAGTATACCAAGGTCACGTCCATAGGCTAGAGGGTGGCTTTCTCCTTCCTGGCTGTATTCAGCTTGTGTTTTGACTGATTTGGGAGTCCAGAGCAGGAAATCAGGCCCCAAAGATAACATTTCAAAACTGTAAAACTGCATCCTGCTCCGTGTGCCTCTGCAAACTGAAGTTACTTGTGAGACTGGGCTTTGGCTGGCTAGTGAAAAAAGTATACCTTGGATCAAAAAGTGCCAACAGGTGGGTGTGTCCTGGGAGGCAAAGAAGCTGGACACATCTTACTGGGTGGCCTCATTCAGAAGAACAGAGGAAAGATCCCATATGTGCTGTGTAAGCCCAGCAGCAGATGCTGTGGCTGAGGTCAACTGTGGCTGCCAGAACACTGGTAGCACATGCCCCCTCGGTGCCACAGTCAGCTCTCTGCTTGGCATGTCATGATGGGGTATTGATTAATGTTCTGGACAGTTCAAGAGGGCCAAGCATCAGATGGTGGGGTGCCATGCTCTTTTCCCTGTCATCTTCTGACTCTAATTGCCATTGGCACCCAGATTCTACTGGCTCATTGCCATCTACATCTATCCTCGTCCTGCAGCTGGGCTGCCTCTGCCTTGGGTCATTTACCATAACTCCAGAAAAGTGTTCTCAGCTGTACTCAGACCACATTCACTATCTCCAGAGCAGGATCTGCTTCATAGCTCATAACCTAATAAGCGTTAGCTTCGGGGCCCACTTGCTTTTAGACCCCTGCCAAGAGCCGCAGGTGCCCTAGAAGTGTGGTCGCATGGTCATATACATAGATTTTAAGATGTATTAACAATATGAGATTTAGCCACAATTGGTTGAGACTGTTTTCTCTTTCCATTCCAGCTCCCCCAACCTCTGTTGTTGGGATGTTAGTATCATCACAGGCATTTGGGGGCTCTATAAAGGAAAGTTGATGTGGAAGTACATTCAGTCTGGGTTTAGTAAAGGATTCTTTAGTGGTAGGCAGTTGTTTCCAAATGCTGTGAGTTACTGCAAGCCATCTTGGTGTAAGAATGACTTCTAGGAGCTCTCGGCCCACTGTGCTGATGATGCACCCAGCGGGGACACTGAGTGAAGGGCCAGCTCTCATGCACTGATAGGAGTGTATCCAGTGGCATCCGACACTAGACATTTGTGCGAAGTCTAAAATGTATAAATCAAAGTTTAAAGGAGGAGGAGCCAAGTTTAAAATGTATAAAGCAGGAAGCTAGTCTGTAGAAGATTCTTCCAAATGTCAGGTATATATAAAACTGTAAGCAGAAGTCTTTGCTTTCAAAAACAACTAGTCAAAACACAACCCCTCTCCTTTTGGGAATTTAGTACATCATGCTGTGTCTATAATCATAAGGCACCATACCTTTCTTTTTTCTTTCCACGGGCATTCTTCATAAGAGATATATTAGAATTTCCATATTTTTATCTGTGTTGATGGTGTTTACTACTATTCTAAAATTTGTATGTGGTTGTGGCTTATTTTCTCATTCTAAATAAGTATAACCTTTTGCACCTAATTACATAATCTTAGTTTTGAATTATTTTGCATAGTGAGGGCTCCCCAAATTGTGTAAGCTTCAGGTCCCAGAAAATCTGGATAAGCCCCTGACTGTCCTCCAGATTGCAGTCAAGTTGATCTTCTCGAAGTGAGCCTGGGCCAGGTGAGGACTCCCTGACTTGATGCCTTCATCCTTTCATACACTGGTGTGAGCTGCTCTCATCACCCACCCTCCTGCCTTGCCCATCCTGGGCACCAGAAGTTCTGCACACCTGTGGCTTCCAGAACATGCTACCTCGTTTGTGCCTCACTGCCTTTGATCATGTGGTTCCCTCTAATCACAATGACTATTTCAGCATTTGTTCATTTGATAAACTTATCTTGGTCCTTCAGAATGCAGCAGAGCAGAAAATCATGCAGGTGGGCTGGGAACCTGCCAGGACTGGAGTTGGGGTAGGGTGGCCTCCAGGGCTCTTGGTGTTCACACCTGGCTTCATACACACATATCCCAGTGGTGGGCTCCTTGCCCCATGCCGACCATGGTGTTAAAGGAGCCAGGCAGCTTCGCACTGCCAGGTCCACTCCCATAGGGCTGCAGCAGAAAGCATGGGCTCTGGACTGTGGCCCGCCCCGTTTCCTGCTCTTCTGGATTTTCCTTAGCCTGAGTCACGTGGCATTCTCCTGCTGTGGGGCTGTCTGGTCCAGACACCCCCCTGCCACTCATCTGCACACCCACACTACCTGACTTTCCTGCTTTGCCCCCCTTTCAAGAGCTGTGCAAGTGCCCTGGGGAGAGTCACCCCTTTCTCTTTTATTCTTCATTTGTGAAGGTTGTCTCACTTTGCTCCATTCTTAATTAGCCAGAAACAGCCTTCATTTTATCCTTGTGACTGAAGAGTCTAGATCACAGGTGTAGATATTCTTCGATTTCATGTGGTATCATTATTAGCAGCAACGTGTATGATAATAAAGCAAAGGCCGGTTACTGTTTACCACATTCACTGAAGGCCTTTCCAGGCAAGCACTTCTTCATTATTTAGTGTGTACTTTAATTAGTCACAGAACTGGTCACAGACTACTAAATTAAGCCAGAGTTTTATGAACATTAACAGATTATTTTCTCCTCTGTCTGTGTGAATGCATCACTCAGTCTTCCCTTTAGGGATTTACATGTAAGGAAGATTGTGCCAAGTTACAATCCTCTGCCCCTCTCCCCTCAAAGAATAAGATATAAGGAGGCTCTGGGAAACTTCCAAGCCAAAGTAAACAAGCCTTAAATTTATCATTCTTTAAGCATGCCCTTGGACAACTTTGCAAAACTCCTGTGATTAACTTTTTTGGGAAAAATGAAAAAATGAAAATGGTTTCCTTTGTACCCCCAAATTTATGCACTTTACTTCTTCTGGATATGCAACTGGCCAGTGTGAAGCCTCCAAGTCTCTCCACTTGGGCAGGGAAACAAAATGCCACACTTCTCCTCCATCCCAAGAGTTGCAAGTCAGTGTAAATCTGCTCTTCGGATTTGCTGCCTCCAATGTTAATTTACTTGGATAAGCTGGAGGAGGAGTCCTAAGGACAGAGCCTGTCTAGTACCTGTCCACAAAGAAAGCAGAGGCTCACCACTGCTCTGTCAAGTTGGCTGTCAAGAGTGAATCAGGTGAGAAACATTGTCTTTCATCCTTTCCCTTCCAGGTTGGGAGCTAAGGCCAGGCTGGAGATCGGGCACCGTGAGTATACCCTTCCCAGTCAGGGTTGAGAAGTTCCAGGCTTCTTTAAATGCCTACCAAGTGACAGGGACTTTGCCATCTGATGTGAGATAGTTGGCAATTTCCCAAATACAACTTTGCCCAGCTAGACTTAATGCCATATGTCAAATACCAGGAGATCATAATAATCCAGACCATCTTTAGGAGTGAAACACTTTCAGAGACATATACTGATATTCCAATAAAATGACAGTCCAATGTTCAGCTCCACAGAATTCTGCTCTCACTCTCATCTCTTGTAAGTAAAAAGGGTCACAGCAGGATGAAGAGCCCAGGCTGGAAGTCTAAGATTAATGACAACCCACCACGCCTTCTGGAGAATGCAGAAAGGAGACTATCTTTTTATGTAAAAATAGTTATAACTCTTGCAAGTGCTCAGCAGATCTATTTTGCCCCAAAAGATAACTAGTCTTTTCTTCTTTCTGGCAGATAATTAATAGTTTCTTATCTTTATTTCCCTGGTCCAAATTCTGCTGCTAGGCATAGCAGAAGAAAAGAACCAGCCTGATTTCAATATGGTAATTACAAGGTTGTGACATTATAAAATGTAACCCGAAAACAGTGGTCTCCAAGGCTCTGAAATCCATGCCAAAAATGAATCGCAGATGCATAGAATTACTGTTGCAATGTCAAAGAAGTGACCATCTCTGTTTGTTTCTTATTTAACCATCATTGCTGTGAATAGAGCTGATGTTGCTCTTTCTTCTATTTGCCCACTCTCTCACTTTCTATGTCATGTGCTTATTCTCTATGAGATGAATGGGGTGACACACAACTGGCATGGACATGGAGAGGCTAACATGTGTGTGGTGCTTTAATAGAGCAATGAATATGCTGTACCCTGTAGGCACTTGCTGGCACGTGGTCCGTGGGTCCCTGTAAGCATGCATTAGGGAGATAGTCACCTTTCAGGACTCAGAATGGCTGAGAGCCAGGAACAAGCCTGAGAGGAGGTTGCCTGCAGGTGGCCTGGCTTTAGCCTGGGAATTCTTTTCTGTCTTACCTGGGAGGAGTAGGCAGTCCTGACAAGGAGGCAAAGGGACATTTTCCCTACTTCCAAAATTTTGCAGTAATCTGATTTGGGCTATAAGCTACTTCGTCTTAGGGGTTAAGGGGCTGCTCTTACTTCTCTTTTTCTTGGGCTAGACCTCTTTGGTGCCATTGTCTTCAGTCACATTCAGCAATTTTTTCTTTCCACTAAATCTCCTTGCTGCCAGTGAATTTTTTATTTTTTAACTTGAAGGAAAGGAGCTTGAAAGTAAGAGTGTTTCATATTTTATATCTGGTATTCATTTTTTCTGAATTCATTTTTATTCCAAATGAATAAATGAGTAAAAATAAAAATTCTTCTGCCACTTTCCTAAGCAATTCTCCCTAGGCATGTATCAGTCAGTTATGCACTGCACTTAATCACAAGTCTGTGTGCCCCACCGCCTGGATGCCCGTGGCCCTTCTGAAGAATGAGTGGACTCTTTCCCACACCTGTCAGGTGGGGGGCACTGTGGGCCTGGGGAGGTGGGGCTTCTACAAAGTCAGCTGCTCTGTCTCATCCGTCCCACATTTCCTTTTCTCCTCTTGGAAGCCTTCTTGTAAGCATTCCCCTGCTCTGCCCCCACCCTTTCCACCTCTTCCCTTCCAGCCTCCCTTCCCAGTTGGCAGCTGTGTTCCAGACTCTCTCTGCGACAGGCCTGGTCCCCACCTGCCTCTGCCACCCAACCCTGGGCTTCCCCAGAGCATCCTGCAGTTGACCAGGCCATGCCTGGGTGTGGCACATACTACACATGTTCTTTCCAAATAGCTGGCCTTTGGCAAGCCCCAGGCTGTATTTTGCCAAACACTTTTTTCTCTACATTTTCAATCCCTTGTATATTTTAAGAGGATATTTAATCCATCTGTTTCTGGTTCATTTGCAATTACAGTAACTCATCAAAACCTTGTTGTAAGGCTTATTTGATGTTCAAGAAGTCTTATGAACCTTTTCCTACTACTTTAAACACATTCTTCTTTAAATCTGAAAGTAACCTTTGGCCAGCTATAAACTAACTTCAATAAGACATTGTGGTTTCAGTTCAAGACCTAGATTAGCTGAAAGGTGTTTTCTCACACCCATTAAGCAATTGTTCAGAGTGGACTTAGTTATTGCATCCCCACAGGAAGAAGTTTAATTAGGACAGCTTGTGCCTGGAAGGCAAATTTTCACAGGGTGAGTGCTTATAGGGTAGGGGGTAGGGGAGCCTGGAGAAAGTGTCAAAACTGTATGGTGACCCCTGAACGTTAACATAAACAAGAGTGTGAAGAATCCCAGATCCAACCACCCCAATTCCTGGTAAGAAGTCTGATCTCAGGAAGTTCTTAGACACAGACAAACACATCCATGAAATAGCCGATAGAACTGGATGGTGGTAGAAGGGGAGAAGAATGTGCATGCAAGTTGGTCTTTGGGGACGGAAGGCACTGTAAGTGAAGCCACCTGTGGAAACGGTGTGTAGACAGTTTAAGTGGGGGATGAAGTTTCCATTCCTAGCAACTGGAAGAGGAGCGAGGAGAATGGTTTTAACAGCTTTTGTGCTCAAGATGTGAAACTATACACAGAGTGGAGTGTAACCTGGGCGTTGAGATGTCTAGACTAACCGGGAGGCTGCAGACAAGGAATTACCTTCAGGAGAATGAGTTCAGGTAGCAGACATCTTTCTGAGTGTTCTCGGGGGGCAGTCTGTCTCTGAGGGTACTGATGGGTGAATAGCCACATCCCTCCAACAACCAGTACCTCATGCTGGTCTTTGCAGAGTCCAGGTAGAAACTGGGGAACTGACAGCTCCGATGTGCAGCTGTCTGTATTCATCCTAGCTGGAGTCCATTCTGCTTGGGCGTTACCTGTGCTGTGTCAGTGGTCAGTTATTCAGGGCTTTCTCTTTGTATTTAAACTTCATAATCCCATCTTTTATACAAACTTATGAAGGCCTACTTGGGGTTCCAAAGCAATGACAAGCAGAGGGTTCTTTTCATTAGTTCCTATCTTCCACCAGAACAATGTTACAGAGAGGATGTGGCAGGAGTCATGCCAGGAGGAGCCATGAGAAAAAAAAAGAAAATTAACAGAGAAAAGAGATCCAGTTTTATCAATGTTAGGGGATCGGTTACAGGCCACTCCTGGACTTATGCCATCACTGGTTCAACAGTGTGGAGAAGGGGATCTCATGTGGAGTCAGATGTGAGCTTTCTCTTCAGGGAGTGAAAGCTGAGGATGTGGCTGACATGATGAAAAGAGGGGCTGTTTCCCGTCCTTGTCGCCTGAACGTCCTTCTGCAGCACCATGTTTCTAAATCCTTTGCAACAGTCCAAGTCCAGCTCTAGGCCCATCTTTCCATGAAGCTTCCCTGGTCCCCTTCGTCCATGTGGTGTCTGTGTTCATCTTGCTGCCTTGGATATTCACGTGGTCCATGAAGTTTTATTGGTGTTTCCTTGCACTGCTCGTCTCCTTTTTATAGATGTTTCCCTTGTCTTCCCCAGGTACACGGGCATATTTCCCAGAACAATTTCCCGGACAAGGGTTGTATCTGCACCGCTTTGGTTTCCTCACAATGGCCAGCATGGGACCTTCATTGACTGACTGTGCAGAAGCCTGTGAGGCTCTCTGAGCCTCCTGAACCCAAAAGGGGCACCAGCGGCCTCACTGAATAGTTTTGGTGTGACTATTTTAGTTGAATAAGGACACAGACTCTTGGCCTCTGGAGGAAGGCAGGAGAAAGGGATTGACACGTCTACAGCAGAAATGAGACCTTGAGAGGCATCCTTCCTGGAGGGGTGTGGTTGTGTGATGGCAGGTGCAGGGAAGGGCACCGACCTGTGTGTTCTGTGCATTGGGAGAGCTCAGAGTCTGTGGCAGGACGAACATATACTGGTCATTTGGCCTTAGTGCATCAGGTCAGGTAATATGCGCTAGCCTGGAATCCCTGTATTCCCTCCCAGGAGCTTTTGTTCCTCCATCTGCTGTAGTTCACCCAGGTGAGGATGCAACTCAGCACCATGGAGGATGCTGGACTACACTTTCCCCGCTTTTCAGTCGTGCTAAGCACATAAGGCACCCTGATTAGAGATGCTGTTATAATTAGCATCACCATCATTTAAATCAAACTCAAAGTGTACACTTTCCTGAAATGAGGTTTGCCCAGTTTCAAGTCTAGGGTCATTTTAAGTCACTGCCTGAGCCTCATTATCTCTATAAAATGCCACTTCCTCTCTGATGTATTATTTTCCATTATATTTTCATAATTATATTGCTATTACAGTTCTGTAATTTTTGTTGTACCCGTAACTCCACATACCTTGTACATTTGGGATTGTCTATGTCCAGTGAAGTGTGCCAAGAGGGAACCACTGTAACACAGAGAGAGAAAGCAGAGAAGTCAAGCAAGGATGATTTGCAAAGAGGTGTGAGTAGCCAACTGCATGATGAATGCGACTGAAAAGGTCAAATGAAATGGCAGAAAAATTAACTTGGGTTTGGAGATATGGATGTAGTTGTTAATCTGGACAAGGGCAAGATCAGAGATGTGCCTAGGAAGGAAGTGAGACTCAATTGGAGGAGAGAAGGTAAATGCTCGTGAGGACGACCTTCAGGACTGTTTAGCTATGGAAGAAGGGAAACGGGCTAGGGGGATTTTGGCTGTACTTTATAGCCTTGATCCTCAACTCCATGCCCCACTGTGTCTCTGGACTCACTCTGTTCTCCTGTTACCTGGATTCTGACCTGCACTTCCAAAATACCTGTCCTTTAATAATGCTAAGAACTTGTGTTCTTCCTGCAGAATCAGACCCCAAGCCTCCCTTTGCACTGCTTCTCCCCAGCAGATTGCCGTGCCCCATCCTGGTGTCCTGCTCGTGAAAATGCTCAGTGAAACCTCAAAGGGCTCCATCCTTAAAAATAGGAACATCCAGAGGAAGCTTCTGGAAATTAGCTTTTTTTTTTCTTTAAAATATTTTTAATCCAATACAAATACTTAGATGATTCTCCACCTCCACTATTCTCTATAAGTAAAAGAAAAGAGTAGGAAACTTTATTCTCCTGGCAAGGGCTGTGTGTATGTCTGAGAGAGAGAGAGGGAGATAGAGAAATACTGATGAGAGAGAATAGAATGCATAAGCTACAAAGAGCTGAGATTCAGTCAAAGGCCCCCCATTTATGTAACTATTCTGGTCTCCAACTGCATTTTCCTTAGGCTTGTGTAGAAGCATCCTGTATGATCAAGTTCTAATCTAGGCCTGAAAGTTACTGGAAAAAATGTAACAGCTATTTGTACTTTCTTTCCTATACATTTATTCTAGATTCTAGATTATCCATTAATTTTAGGGTTTTCTGGATATGCAACCTTAAGTACAAGGAATTGTTTCGTCTTCCTTCCCAAGAGTAATATGCCAATTTTCATTTTTTGTCTAATTTGCATAGCTGGGACTTCAGACCAATGGTAAGTAAAGTAAGAAAGAATGGATATCCTGGTTTTGTTCCTGAATTCTCATGTTCCAGCATGAATTATGGTATCAGCTAGTGGTTTGGTATTCATATTCTTTCTTATATTATGGAAATACCCACTATTCATAGTGCAGTTTTTTGTTTGCTTTAACACAGAGAATGGGAATTGAATTCTAGAGAATGCTGTACGGCTAATACAATTTTTCTACTTGCACCTACTGTGATAAATTTTGAAGTTTCTAACCCTAACCCAGTCTTGCATTCTTAGAATAAATTCCACTTGCTCACAAACACTTATAAGCTGGTTGTTTTCTGATTAACTGGGTTTTTATTTAAAATGTCTTAAGATTATGTAAGATAATGATATATTGTCAATGTTTACGAAGGAATGTTTATGTCTCATTTATTACATTGTCAGATTTGGTGTAAAAGCTACACTAAAATGAAGTAGACTGCTTCTTATCTTTTGCTAAATACTGATTATTTATATGACATAAGAGTTAGGCTAATACTAGCTAGTTGGTAACACAAATAACCCCCAGTCTCAGAGCCATAACCAGCATGTTCCCTTCTCAATGCTGGTCTGGTTGGATGTGGGGAAGGCAGCATGTGCTGGAATTGGTTGCCCCAGGCTCTCGAGAACTGATTATGAGCATCTCCAACCACCAGTGTGAACTTATGAAATGAATGAAGTTACTCACAATAAAATAACTCTTCCATTGTGTTGGTAGGTCATCAGAAGTAAAAAACATACGATTGTCTTGACTTCAGTCTGTTGCTTGCTGTCAGGTACTAACAGTGAATGGAAATTTCCATCCAGCCTAACACTGACTGGTGAGTGTGTTCGTTTCACAAAGTTTTCAAGTAGGGGAAAGTCAGGAAAACACAAAAAATAGTTATCTCTCATGTAAAAGAGGAATTATACCTGGTTGCTGCAAATTTTAATTTGCAATGTAATGTTTAATAGGGCATCCAACTCTCCTGCTTTACCAGGGACTGAGCAGTTTCCCAGGATGAAGGGGTGTCAGTGCTAAAAACAGCAAAGTCCCAGACAAATGAGACGGTCACTCCAAGCACAAGCAACATATTTTCTCTCATACACAATAAGCAAAATATTATACAGCAGTGAAAAAGTAATGAGGGCCGGCATGAAGTTGAAATTTAGAGACCCAGATTATGACCTGTATACACAGCAGTCTCCACAGCAGATAGAATTGACACATGAAGTGATTTTTAAATGGTGTAAGGATGTGTCAGTAAATGGCCTAATTCTGCAACTTTGGTAACTTTTACAGATTCCGAGGACACATGGGTGCCCATGTTGCTCTGTTTGCCACAGTGATTACCCACCGTCACTCCGGCTTCTGAGACCATATCGGAGCCTACAGACTCTCACTCTGGTCTGCTGTCATCACAAATGCCAAACATTTACCAAAAGTGCTAAGTCTCTGGACCCATGGGTTTAGCTCATTTTGAAAACAGAACTGGACTTTTTACCCAGAACCAGAAAACATTGAAAACATTAAACAACAAAAATCTGTGGTGTGTTTATTAAAAGCAAAGATTCTAACCCTGATCTAAACCAGACTGTTTTCTTCCTGGCTCCCTCCCTTTTCCTTTTAATTATGTGAACTGGAAAGGAAAGGTTTCATCAGACCGAAACGGCAATCTTCCTACCCTAATCTCTAGGACAAAACAGAGAATCTGGTCTGGAATTGAATTTGAAATATTAAAGAAAAATGACTACCAGCTTAATGCTGTCACCATCCCCGTGTTTATTTTTCTTTCTTTTATGTCTGATGTCAAGGAGAAAATAATGTCATCGGCTGGAAATTTGAGGATGTTTGCATTTTGAGATAATTAGAATTAATGTTGGAGGGCCAAACTAGCACTGAACAGTCCCTCTGCTTCCCATGTGTGTAAAACATTGTGTAATGACTTTCACTTAATCTGGGGCCTGGCAGGCTGCCGCAAACCACCTAGAGCCAAGCAGCAGAATTTCTTTCTCAAAAAGAAAAACTTATACTCTGGAAGTTAGAAATGAGGGCATCGAAAAACAGTGTGCTGCAAATTGCTTTAGGCACTTGGGTTTCCCTCCATCTCTGTTTCCTTCTTTTCCAGCTTGGCTGCCAGTGCTTCGAGCACACACGGGGATGGCCCTTCACCTCACAGCTATTGTAAAGGCAAGTCTTCCAGTGGAAGAGCAGAAATGACATTTCCTTAAGGAGCTGTAAATTCAGGAAGCTGGTGCTGGGCAATCATCTGGGAGACTCATTCAGTGAGGCAGCCCAGACACAGTGGCCATTTGTTGTGGGGTGGACAGTAGTTGATAGGATGTTTGACTTTTCAATAGACTGTTTTGCCAACTGTACACCCAGTCACTGTGATGAGTGCAGAAGAATCTCTTAAAATCTTTCAGTGGCCTCTCAACACCCACAGAGCAAATTTCAAACCCTTAAGCATGAGATCGAAGGCTTTTTTTGCAACAGGTCATCTTTATTTTGCTGGCTTCACTTCCTTGTGCCCATGCCACATGCCACAGGTCACAGATATTGAATGCCTTGTGCTGTTCTGTGTACATATGCTTCCCTCCATTTAAGAATCTCCCATTGACCTTCATGCATAACCAAGCACTAGCATCCAGTAGGTCTTCAATATATTTGTTGAATGAATGAATTCCAAAACCCAACTCCAACATCATTTCCTCTGATTTCCTAAGATGGAAGAATGACTCTATTCTCTGGGGTTCCACAATTTTTTGAAGAATTGTATTTTTGGTGCAGAGGCTCACAACCAGGCATGATTTTGTCTCCCAGGAACACTTGACAATGTCTGCAGACATTTTTAGTTGGCACATTATGGAGATGCTACTGGCATCTCCTAGGTGGATGTTGGGGATATTGCTAAACTTTCCACACTATGTGGGACAGTCTCTGACAATAAAGAAATGCCTGGCCCAAAATATCCATAGTGCTGAGGTTGAGAAATCCTGGTTAGAAGATCTTTAGCCAAGTTCTAAAGCAGGAGTCATCTTGGGACACCTGTCTACTCCGTTAGACAGTTAACTCCTTGATATCAGGGACTGTGCCTTAATCACCTTTGCATTCCCACTGTCTAATACAATGTCTGGCATGTACAAGATGCTCAATGAATGTTGAATGAAATGAATGACAGGAAAAAGGAATGGTGTACTGCAGAAGTGCTAAGTTGTGATCATTCTCTAAGGATTATGAAAAATAAAGCCATAGCTTGTTCCTATATGCCATATAAGCTCACACGGAAATGTAAGCTCAAAGAAGTTGCTCGGTTTCAAAGAAATGAAAAATGCCATCTCTCCACATATTCCACTCCAAATGGAGTTCTTCCCAATGGTGCATAACTTTATCAGCAGGGCCATGTTGGAAAGTACCTTCTGCTTTGGGAGATGCAGATTCTACCTCCTTGTGCTTTTCTCAGCCCCTAAAAATTCACAGTAAGGTTGACATTCTATTTTTATGCCAACTCTCAAAAGCACAGTCTCTTTGTAATTGGTGTTAGCTATAGCCTTTCAGAATGTCCCATAAATAGGCCCCGTTTGGGAGCTTTTTGGAAGTGCTATTTTGATACCTCCTCCATGCATAGTCACTTGGACTCCAGCCATTTGTCAGGGAAATCATTTGAAAAGGCAATTTGGAAGCCCACCCACATGATCCCAGCACCTCTTTCTTTTTGCTGATGGTATTAGACTAAAATTGGTCTGGTTCTGACTCAATAACTGGATTATGTTTAGAATAAGAACTTGAAGCAAAATGGTCCAACTATGAAGTCTGTGTTCCTCAGAAGCCTTAGCAAGAACCTCCTCTTTGCATCACAATTCTTCCATGGAATTGTGTTTTGCTTGGAAACACTGCAAGCAAATTACAGCCAGAGTTGGTGTTGGCCATAATGAAAATGCAAGGGGTATGATTTTCTTTCAGGTTTGTCTTCTCAGGAGTGTCTTCATGAGAGAATCACCCTGCTTTACTGATCATTTGAGTGGGGATTATCCTTACCAACTAAATAGATGCATGTAAAATTCTGTTTTAGAGTCCCACAGAATTAAGTTCACTCCACATAGGCACAAGTTTTTCATTTTTCTTTGAGAAGATTCTACTCAATAGTCTTCTTGAAAATGTGAATTTATTATGGTGAAGATTGTGGATTTAACTTAATAAGAAAATTTATCAGCTCTAATGAATATGTTTCACAATACCCCTTTGCTTTATTTAAAAAAATAGCATTTAGTTCATAGGATGATATGCAAACAATTGATAGGGATTTGAAGAAGGATAAGACTTGAAATTTACATTATACACAAGAAGCTTCAATTGGGACCAGGATAAACAGAGGCAAAAGGCCTCCACATGGAACATGACAATAAATGATTGACACGTGTTATTTAAGTGATAGAGAAAAGAGGAATTTGGATAATGAGGAAAGTATCAGTGTGGATTAAAGTTCTTCGAGAAGCCTCATCAAAAAGTGGAATAGATAAATGTTTTTTTCATACCTTCTTCCAGCCCTTCACGTTGCTTTCTTCTCTATTTCGGTGCATCAGACATGTCTTATGTTGCGTTTGTTTGTTGTCTTCTCTGTCCTCTGACATCATGTCCTTGCGGAGGGCAGCAGTCACGGCTGCTTATCGTTGGCTCTCCATAGCAGATATTGCCATGTCTGCTACAGATATTTCAGCTGATCTTAGTTGAAGAGAAGTGACAACTATCCTGGTGTCAGTTTCTTATATGTGCTGGGCGAAAGTGGCCACTATACTGACACAAAAAAAGGAAACAAGACAGTGAAGAATGTGTTGTTCTCCATAGTGTCCAAGAGGAGGCGCATTCGATCATGGATCTCAATTCAGCAACCACTGGCTGCTGCTTCGCATGGCACCAAAGTCCAATGGCTTTCCCCCCATTCTGGGGTTAGAGGGGATGAGAATTTGGCCTGTGTTCCCACTTAAAATAGTTTATTGAGTTTTGTTTTCTCATTGACATGCCTAAAATAACTAAATTCAAAATAATTAAAAAGCCACGTTAAAAATAAAATGAAAAGTCAGTGCCTTCATCTCTTTCGTCATGGCCTAATTCACAACTTCTTTAAGAGCCTGGAATCTACTCCAGGGCAACTGTGAAAATAGTCTGCATTTAATTGCTGTTCGTAGTTTGAGATCATTATTCATGCTCATGAGTTGCATTGAATTTATACATAAATTTCACTAGTCTAATTTATTAATTTCTGAGAAGGAGAAATGCGGAGGCATCTTAATCTAGGAAAAACATCTCAAACGCTTTTGCACACATTTTACATTTGGCATAACCTAAAACACATTTCCCCACAAAACTCTTTCCCTTAACTCTTAAGCCCCTGAGTATTTCAATGGAAATACAATACTTTTTATCTGGATTCATTTACACTCTCATTTACTCATCAGCATGGTGTTTTGTAAGAGATATTTAATATTCTCCAAGAGCCCTTTTTTCTTCTGCACATTTCAAAGTTTTTCCTGTAGGAAACACTATGTTCCAAGCCATAAATTGAGTCTAAATCCAGAAAACAGGAGTTAGGGGAAGCCATAAATTCCAAATGAGTTCCAAGTGGTACTGATCTTAACTGTCCATTATCCGTATAACGTGGTTACCAAAATGACAACTGAATGCCCCAAGTGAAGAAAACTTCTTAAGTCTGGTGGCATTTACTTTGAATCAGTGTGCACGCTCAGGACAAGGTAGCCTACTTTCTCACTCTCGTGGTGTGGAGTCTAGCACAGCTTCCTTTTCAAGAAACAGGGGTCAGAACCGACGAATCCTCTCTGGGAATAATCAGCTTTCCAGAGTGATTCTCTCCTCCTGAAGGGCAGGGCCGGCCCGGTGAGTCAGCTTCCTGGCACGGGGCCGGCAGATGCTGCTCCCTCAGCACTGAGCAACCCCACGGCAGACACCTAACCATTCCTGCTGTGGACTCAGGCTTACAGCTAATTCTCCTTTCGAATTTCTTTTTATGAAAAATATTGGAAACCAAAGCTAGTGGGTTATTTTAAAAATACCTTTTATTTAAAATATTTTTAAATAATAAAAAATGATTAAAAATGCTTTTTTGGAAGGATACCAAGCCCTTCCTTGGAACTGAAAAAAAAAATTGTAAATCCAGCTCTTTAAGGCTTATGGCCAGAGGGGCAGTGTGGGGTGGCTGCAAGGAGCCCAGTGCTATGGGGGGATCAGACAAGTCACAGCACTAACTATGGCTGAGCAGACGCCCAGCGGGGTCTAGCAGTACTAACTATTGCAAACTAACAATTCCCCAAATGACCACCCTCCCAACTAACTAGTCCCTGGTTTATTCTTTTTCTTTCTTCTTTTCTTCAATATGGAGGTGGTGGCCTCCATATTTTCTTTCATTTTAATAATTATTTATTCTTATTATTGATTACTTATTTGAAGATGACTCTATCATTGTAACTTTCAGATTTCACATTAAAAACTTAACTCTTAGTTTCTGTACATGATCTGCTCATGACTTCTCCTGGGTTCCTAAAATAAGGAAACATTTT